TTCGTTCGTTCTTCTCTCGTCGTCGTCTCTCTCTCTCTCTCTCTCTCTCTCTCTCTCTCTCTCTCTCTGTCTCGGCTCACGTCGTTGGTAGTGGTGCTTATTAAGATCTTATCATCGGTGACGTAAGTGTTGGAGTGAAACGCATAGCGCAGTAGTAAGGCTAGGCTGTTCCACCAATTTTGCAGCTTTTTGCCTCATCTTACGTCATTGCACAACCACGCAAAAAGATTTGAAACGCAAGATCGGCCGAGCAGTCGATTTAATCGAATGCGGCGTTAAATTACACTTGTACGTAGCGGAACGCCATCGTCGCCAAGGCGCTCGATTATCTCGCGAGATTCGATCGATATTTTTAACAACTCATCCGCCGCGTCGATCCATCCACGAATCGGTGCAAACTTCTCCCCCGTTACGGATTGTACGGCTCGTATTATTATAATGTCGTTGGTCGTCCGAGCATCGAGTGCGACGGACGTTCGTCATTCACCCGTAAAACACCCGTTTACCTAATTATCGTAACTGGTTGTCGCTTACAATCGAATCGAAAAGCCGAAATTGTTGTCGGTCGTATAATAAGTAAGCAAGCAAATCCATACCACTCGAAAATACTTGAAATACGTTACGATCGAAATGATTTCCAGAGAGAGAGAGAGAGAGAGAGAGAGAGAGATTACGAAGAAGTGAAATGGATAGAGTTCTGGAAAATGGTTGTTTTAAATTTAATCGTTGGCTATCGAACGCGACATTCGAGGAATCGTATAATCAGACCGTTCGGGGAATTTGCTCGATCGTGCGATTTATCCGTTCGAAGGATATATATATATATATACACATAGCTTGTCTACCTCGAGACACGTTTCGAAACCTGGAACGAACGTCGATAATCGGCGTTAAAACGCGTCGCTACGGAACACGGTATTACTCGTATTGCGCGTCGTATGGGCAACTTGTTTCGGCGCAGCCGCCGAGCTGCTAAATTGACAATGAACGATCATGCAAATTAGTTCGTACACGAAATTGCGAAGTTGTGGAGACGAGTCGAATCTTTTTCTTTTTCTTTTCTTTCGAAGATGTTAATGTTTTCACATATATATATATATATATATATATACACTTTCTTAGTTGAAATATCCTATTTATATCCGCATTTGTTTTTTTCCACTCTTCATTTCACTCTCGGTTAAAAATTATATCTTTCATTCCATGAAAGTTAGAGTGGCGTTTGCTTTTTTCTAAAAAAAAAAAAAAAGAAAAAACAAATGTATTTGTAAAAAACGTTAGAATAGAAGGTTTTTAATTAGGGAGGTTAAAACAACGAGCGTTTCGCCTCGAATCGGGTAAAGAAGATATCGAGTTGGAAAGGATTATTTTTATATTCGGAGACGGTTCGTGGCGTCACGAAAATTTCATTATCTTCGGGTGTATAGGCGTTGAAGAGTTATCTGGCAGCGGTGTTTCGCGATTGCCGCACACACGTACGCG